AATCATGGGGTAATTTTCATTTTTGGGTGAACTGTCCCTTTAAAACCAGATTTGCTCAAGTGGTGCTTGCGAGATGTCGTATAGGTCAGACGAGATTGAGTCGTGCCTTTTTGCTCAAAGACGAAGACCCGACTCTGTGCATGTTCTGCAAGACCCCGCTTTCCATGAAGCATACTGTATTTCTGTCGACTGTCCTGGTTTTAATGCAAGGAGAAGACTTTTGTATGAAGTATGCTCACTCAGGGACTTTTACCAGAAAAGATTTTCACATGTTTATTCAAAAAATCTTGTATAATTTTAACTGCTGTATTTTTGTGTTTGTTTGGTTTTTATTTTGTGCTTATGTCACTCTTGTATTATGAAAATAAATAAATAACTACTTCTTCACACTACGTCTTTCCTTCCAAACACACGTGTGTCACCGCGAGCGTATCGAGTGAGGACACACACAGCATTATGTGGATGTGCAGTGTTTGTTTGGGGTTTTCTCTGGAGAACGCTGATTTGATGTGTTGTGTTTCCAGGTTAAAGGTGTACGTCCGCAGTCCTCAGGAGGACATCCGAGTCTTTCTGAAGTCCGAGCAAACACAACCCAACTCTCTCAGGTAAGATGTGGTCTTTTTTTGTCTGGATTTATTTATTTATTTTACTTTATCATGTATTATTGTTTATTAATGAATTGAAGTTTTTATTAAATATTATACATATTTAATTAATTATTTAATAATTATTTATTCATTTGGTTCCCAATTTATTCATTAAATAATTGTATTTATTTATTTATTTTAATTATGTATTTTAGTTAAATATAGTTAGTTAATAATCATGTATTATTTATTACGTCGGTTCCTAAATTTATGTATTAATTCATTTTATTTATTTATTTATTCATTCATTTATTTATTTAATTTTGTTGTTGTTGTTTTTACTTTATCATGTATTGTTTATTAATTAATTAATGTTTTTATTATATATACTTATTTAAGTATTTATTTATTTATTTATTTTAATTATGTATTTTAGTTAAATATAGTTAGTTAATAATCATGTATTATTTATTACGTCGGTTCCTAAATGTATGTATGTATTAATTCATTTTATTTATTTATTTATTCATTCATTTATTTATTTAATTTTGTTGTTGTTGTTTTTACTTTATCATGTATTGTTTATTAATTAATTAATGTTTTTATTATATATTTATACTTATTTAATTATTTATTAGTTTGGTTCCCAATTTATTCATTAAAGTCCCCATGAAATCAAAATTAAAGTTTTTTTGGGTGTTAGTATCAATATGTTAGTCTTAAGGTTATCTATAAGGCAGTGTGCTCCAAAACAGTGACAAAATTCGCATTTAGAAGATATAAGCATTCAAAGCTTGCAGTTCCTCACTTCCGCCAAAATGGCTCAGCGATTATTTTTTTTGACGTCACCTCGTACTTCATCTTCTAATCAAATCTTCTGACCAATCAAACGCTCTCTAGAATCCGAAGCCCCGCCCCCTGCACTATAAATAGACGCTGAAGCGGCTGAGATCG